AACGCGCTGCAGACCCGCTCAGCTTGCCCAGACCTAGAGACTTAATTTCGACAACTATTTCTAAACCCTCCTTTGGGAGTGATCAAAATATTTTAAGAGGGATTTCCTCAGGAATTAGGCCTATATGAGGGATCAAATCTCTTATACTTCACCCTCTCTTTAAGTAGGCTTCATTATAAGTGCTGTGACCAACTGAAACTATATTTTGGCATTTCCAACTGGCAAGAAAAAAAAATAGCCGAAAATACAGCCCCAAAACTGGCACGAAAGTTTTCTATGACGTTATTGATTGGTAACTGAAATGCTATCTGCGAAATATTTCTCAAATTACTCGACAGAAATCATTTGCATTATGTCAGGTCTGCACTGCACACTAATATACTGGAATTACTGATATTGTTCTTGCCAAACTTCGCGACATGTTCTCCAACGATAAAAGAAAACGATGCTTTTGTTATTGTTGTAAATTATTTCAAAGTTGTTGTCATATGTAAGGCGGCATTGAGGTAATGCTTTGCCGCTTTGGCGCTCTGGTTTAAAGTAAAAAGCTGAAATGAAAAAAAACAAAACAAAAAACAAAACAAAAGTAATAAGAATAAAAAATAAATAATAATAATAAAAAAAACGGGAATAAACAACACGATGTACATTTGCTCGAAGCATTTGTTAAGTGACTTACTTTTTCTTGTCTTCGGTTTTTCTTATCAGGTTTGTCATTGAGTACTTGTGTAGTTCTTTCAGTTAGTAGTGGTTTTAACTAAAGTACACGTATCATAGACGTGTCTGATAATTTCAGGTCATTCCCAAGCTAAGTTTTAGATAGGCTTTGCTAGAATTTGTAAACCTATTTTATTTTTTCAAACGTGTGTGCATTTGAATAAAAGTATCGTACTTTTGTTATGAATTTCTCATTCCGGAAGTGCTTTTAATACTTATACGTCACTTTTTACGTGCTAATATTTCATAAAAGTTATTGACTCGCCCTCCTTAGAGCATTCCTAAGGAATACAGCTGCTCTGTTTGCTGCGTGCAATATCGTTAATAACCATTTTATCTTCCTTGAAAATGATATTTGCCAAGGCTAACTAGAAGTGGAGTAGATCGTTGGGAGAGGGCAAAGAAAAACAAGACTTTGAAATACTAAAATCAAACTCACCCCTACCCACTGAGTTTATACCCGCAGCAAATCGGGAAAGACCGCCTCCAGTGACGTCAAAGTTTACAGTAGTCGGCTGTCCATTTTATTGACTTCACTTGAGTCTATCACAAACGATGAATATTACAATCAAAAACATCAATTTACCGTTGTGGAAAGGATAACTATAGACAGAACATTAGAAAAGCTTGAGTCATGCCAATTTTGTGTGTACTCGGTAGGTGGAAGCGTTCTTGTAATTAGCCAGGCGTGTTTGATATATTTTCAGCATTCTCGCGTTCCAAGTTTACGCGGCTTGTTCAGTTATAAGTGTAAATTTAACATGTTCTAACTCTGTTTTGTCCTTATTTCCTTCATGCATCTGAACGACATTCCATGAACGAAATGAGCAGTGAAAAAAGGGAAATTAAGAGGCCATTCCGGTAAGACATTGTGCTATTAAACTGGTATTTAGCTGACTAAACTCGACACTTCAGGTATTTTACGTACGCTTTCATTTTGACTGAAAACCGGAAGGTTGCCCTGAAGTACTTTCGAACCAAGAGGAAGAAAATGCATTTCCTGATGCTGGCATTTAGTCATGTACATACTCTGGACAAATTGACAACATTAGGTCAACAAATTCATGTGAATGCGTGAAGAACTCCATGCAGGGGAGAAAAAGCTGCGATCGAAAAGATTTTAATCGAAGTTGAAATTTTAGGGAAAGTACAGAAAATGATTTGTTAGACGTTCAGAAATATAAATTTGGTTAGGCTCCTAACTTTGCTTCCCGACGAAACAAATCAGTGACTTGTTTACATGTGCTGAAAGATTAAGCTTAAGCTTATATTTGAATTGCTAAAATCTAATCCTTGGCCAGCATTAACATTATTAAATTCCATGCGAATTTTAATTTAGAGTGATATATCACTCTTTCCTTCTTATATTTAAGACTTAATTAACTCTGACTTTTTGTATGGTTTTACCATTTCATTCAGAAAAACATAGTTCATTTGTCCGTGTGATTCTTCAAAATGTCACTCTGGAAACAGAAGTTGGAAAGGGAGTGTCTCCAACTTATGAACAAGAGTTTGTCTTGTAAGTTATTTGTAAATAAAACTTAGACTCTAATTATCCAACCCCCACATACACATGCAAAGGCTGATCTGACATGATGTCAGCAGTATGATTCTGATCAGTAACTACAGGGCTGATAACCCCTGGCAACTGTTTCAGCTGAGTATGCTTACAGTACTGCGCACTTTACTGTTGCCACCTACTAAAAAGTTTTTTATTAGTTTTTGACAACTTTTTGACATCCTCTGATGGCTTCTGTTTCAAATGGCTAATCAAACTGCAACAACTTACCACTGATTTCAAATGTTTGCAGGTCACGACTTATTAAATCCAAAGAGAGTGACTGATGAATTTGACAATTTAACATATTGGCCCTCAACAGTTCCCATGTTTTGATTAGCTGGTTCAACTAGAAGCCAGCAAAAAGTTGTTGAAAAAATGGCAGAATTTAAAGTGGCAGCGTGTGTAGCGTTGTAATGGGACCTGTTATTGATAGAATTCACCCACAAAGTAACAAGATTGGTAAGGGTGCAAAGATCAGGGCAAGGGGTGACTCAAAAGTTAATGACAGCCCTGCTGAGTGAGAGCGCATTCTCATTTCTGGGTGTTGAATTGATTCAAAGTAGCTCAAACAGCAGATTAGTCAAATCATGACTTTACAAGATATTTTTCTTTGTAAATTATCAAAAATATAACTTCAGACGGGTGATCTTATGCAATCACTCAGATTTTCCACTCTTTATTTTCTGTTCGGTTTGGTGTTGATCCAGGCATCTTATACTGTTCCCAGCACTAACTATTCTGACTTGTTTCGGTGATCATATTCTTGTGGCAACAATACTCAAAATTAAGTCCTTAACTTTGGCAAAACTTTAAAATGACTTTTCCTGGTTGATCATTGTCTTAATTCTCCTCACTAGTCTACCTGAAATACATTTGTATATTACACATTGTATTTTTACCACTTAAAGAAGTGACGAATTTGACTTGGACTGATAGGTTTTAATAACCGTAAAATTAAATATTATTTCATAATTTTGATAACTGCACACAGTGAGACAAACCGCTTGGACCAGACACTGTGTTTCCAACTGTGGGAGAAAGGATTCTTCAAGGACAATCTGCTGGGAAGTGCTTGGATTCCACTGATGCAGATTCATCATTCAAATGCCGAGGGGAGTGGTGCATGGGTGCAGCTGAGTAATGAGTCGTCCAAAGGTCTGGTGTCTTCAGGCCATTTATTACTTGTGGATACTCGGTTTGAACTGCCGTCAGGTATGGCAAACATACAGTGCTAAGAGGAGATGATAAGCTATTTAATCATACTGCTGCCAAGCCCCGATGATTCAATCTCTTAAGAAAACATAATGCAAGCTGACATGTATGGGGTCAGAATGAGTCTAGAAAAAGCTCAGTGGTCCTCTATATGTCAAGTTTTTATTAAACTAATTGTGTTTCAGAACATTTATTAGATGTTTTTCACAACTTTCTCACAAGATCAAGCTTGATGAATGTGTTGTGATAAAATTATACTAGATTGAATTGGGCCAAACAAGAGAGTATATTTTAGCTCTTAGATATTTTGCTGTGTTCAGTTTGCAACTACTATCTTGAACAAAGTATTTTCCCTTCTTACCTGACCATGCAGTCAATAAGCTCATTTGTTTTATAACCTATGGAAGAAACATGTTTTCTTCTTGTTTCTGAAGGACTTTCAGAAGAAGAGGCATTAGCACTCCAAAATAAACTGGATTCATTTTACACCATCATGAATCAGGAAATGGAAGTTCTGAAGGAGCAATCCCGGAAAGTACACAGAGAAAAGGATTTAAAGAACCGTAAGACAATTATTGTTTGTTTTCAGTGGTAACATGTGCATTAGCTAGACATGCTTTGATTTATTCATGTTATTATACAGTATGCCAACTTAAAGTTTCAATTTCAGATAGGATTTTGTCAAAGTTGCAGGTTTTCCCTTTACCAGTGTGTATCAAGGAGAGTTTTCATTTTGTTTAGGAAGTTAGTCCTTATACTTCCATTAAATATTTTCACTCTCATGCAATTGGTCTAAATGTGTCACATTTCTGGACATGCCGCAGCTAAAACTGGGGAATATCTGATTGATATAAATACAATAACCCCCTTTTTGGCATGAAAATGTGCTTGCTGTTGGTGAACACAGAAAATCCAGGCACAAATGAAAACCAAGGCCTCTTTGACTTGCATTAAGGCTGAAAGGAACACTTTTGCTCTTCCTGTTCGTATTTGGCTTGTTGAGTGTTAACATGAGTAAATGCCATTTAGAAAATAGCCCAAAGAAAATATGCATGTTGATTGGTTTAAAATCATGTTTTTATAACTTGTGAGGTGGTATTCTCCATGAATCAAATCATTGCAGGCTCAATTTTCATTTTGTCAACTGCTGATTTTCTATACTCCATCTGCATTTGTGACTACACATTCTATTTGTTTCAGAAAATACCGCTATGAAAGAAAGAAAAACAACTTGTTTACTTTGATTACATTATCCAAGATTGCGGACCAAGATGATGATTTTTTTTCGTGAAAGAAAGCTGTAAATCTTTCTTGGTTTTCTAAAAGTTCCAAATGGATAACAAGTGGTCAGAATGCAGGGAACTCATAAGTGTATTTAAGAATTTTATTTTTCTGGTACAGTCAAACTAAACTCGTCCAGTGGACGAGTTTTTGTATTGTTTTGGTCGTCCCTGCAATGTTTTAATTGTCATGGACAAGCGGAAAACTATAAATATGGATCCCTGCAACAGGTGATAAAGGTCTTTCTAAAGATCAGAGCGGCTTGTGTGAATATAAAGCTGTTTGATAAGAGTTTATCAATGTCAAGTCAAATCTGAGCCAGCATTAAGTCAGAATATGTGCCAAATGTCTGCCTAATACTATATGTATCATATTATGTTATTCTAACCATAACTTCAGAGCTAACCATTATTCACCATTATTTAGGCTAATTGGTATGCTGTTCAGACTCAATCAATTGCTGTTTCAACTAACCACTATGCTAATAGGCTGACTGGAGCACCATTTAGCTCAGAGTAACTCCTGTATTTATTTGCTGGTCTCTTAGCCAAGGGGATGCATAAAGCCTTTGGCCATAATCTGCCACATTCAAAACCTTTAGGAGTTGGCACATACTGCTTGCTAATCAGTGTTTTGTTTATTCTGTTCATTATTGTAAGTAAAGAATTAATCTTTTGTGCTCCTCTTGTAATCAGTTAATGATGAATTAGACAGTGCCTACACAAGTGATGCAGCCCTCTACAATCCCTACTTGGACTCAGACCCGGAAATGAATTACCAAGATTCAGATGACATTGCTGATGGGCGTTTCAGTGACAGTGAAGCTGATAGAGACAGACTAATGATCAGCTACACAGAACATTTTGATCATACTATTGCATGTACCTCCGATGACATCCGTGAAGAACTGGAAGAGGATGAAGAGGAAGATGCCATGTTGTCAACATCTGTTTTGCCTGAAAGCCAGCAAGGAGAAGAGGGTGATTATTTCTTTGAAGAATTATTGGAGTCAAGCATGGAGGTAGGGCACAATTGTTCAAAATTTACATGTCTCAGTAATAACTCCTGGTCAGTAACTACAGTCAACTCCCGATAACTCGAACTCTTACTAACTCGAACCAAAATCGATTTCCCCTGAATTTCTGTCATACATTTACTGTAATAATATTTTACCCTTGGTAACTTGAACCCTCGATAACTCGAACCTCCCGCTAACTCGAAGCAATTTTTGTTTCCCTTCAGGTCATTTCCTATCTAATTTTACCCTCGATAACTCAAACCATGTCTGTCAATACGTGACAAGTCAAAACAAACTGTGTACTGTAGTCCAAAACATTAAATTTATTTTGAAGCAGCTGTGTGAACTTTTTCCTTTCTTTTGCATTACACTAAATTTTTTTACATGGCATTAAATTTGATTAAAATACATATTGCATGAATAGAAAAACATTAAACAATGTTTTTTTCCTTATTTCTGGTCATTTGTTCTCAGCTTCCAATAACTTGAACTCCTGATAACTCAAACCTTATTTCTCTTGAAGGTTCGAGTTATCGGGAGTTGACTGTGACTTCTGTAATTAACTATAATGCAAGGTTTGTAAACTTGTCTAGAAAGAAGGTAATTCTTTGAAATAATTATTTGGATGAAGATTCATAGTGGTTCTGGTACATTTAGTCAGTTTAGTCATTGAGTGAGTTAGTTAATTAGCAAACCCTTAAGTTGTCATAGGAGCTGGTCAGATAGACCCAAAAATACAGCGGAATAAGGGCAATGAGAAATTCAGGCAGACAGACCGGCCGGCCACCTGTCTGACCAAACAACCTTCGACAGATGGACAGACAGATTGAATGACAGGCAGGCCGTGATAGACAGGCAGGTAGACAGATGGACAAGCAAGCAGACAGACAGACAGACAGACAGACAGACGAACAAACAGACAGACAGACAACATACAGACAGGTAAGCGGGCAGGTAGACAGATAGACAGAAAGACAGTAAATCAGTTAGTCAGGTGTTTTGGGGAGTCAGTGACTCAGCCAGCAGAGTGTATTTTATTATTTAAACTATTAAAATTTGAAACACCTTCATGGGTGTCATCATTCCTTTTGGTGTTAGAATTATTGCAAACATGTTGAATAAAGATAAGTTAATAAAGATGGTGAATTTTAAGCTCGGTAACGAAATGTGAAGGTGAATTAATCAACATGACACGAGCGTGAGACAAAGAAAAATTCTGAG